CTGGAGTGCAATGGCGCGATCTCGGCTCACCGCAACCTCCGCCTCCTGGGTTCAGGCAATTCTCCTGCCTCAGCCTCCTGAGTAGCTGGGATTACAGGCACATGCCACCATGCCTGGCTAGATCTCTTTACATTCTTAAAAATGATTGAGAACTTTAAAGAGCTGTTATGTGAGTTATATATATATGTCCATATTTGCTGTATTAAAATTTAAGATAGAAAAATATTAGACATGTGTTTGTTTAACTTAAATTCATTACCTATTACTGTAAAAAATATTTTTATAAATAATGACTACCTTTTTCCCCAAAAAATTAGAGAAAAGTGGCATTTTTTTAACATTTTGTACATCTTTTTTAAATCTGGCTTAATGGAAAACACTGGATTCTCATATTCTGCCTCTGCATTGAGGCTGTTGTGATATGTTGTTATACCTAAGATATGAAAAAAGTTAACTGTTGTACAAATTCATAGTTGAAAAAAGGAGGACCTTACAAAGCTCCTGGAAGGGTTTCAGTAACCCCTAGGGGTTCTCGAACCTCACTTGGAGAATTACTGCCAAATGGCATTTTGCATTTCTTTTCTTTTTTCTTTTTTTTTTTTTTTGGCATTTTGCATTTCATTTGTTTGAAGGTCATGTACTTCCACACAGGCGTCTGCTAACATCTGAAATTATAGCCCTTTACTTCTTCCAAGCTAAAACTCAAATTTGACAGCTCATATCAAACCATGACATTTCAAAAACGTTTTTCAAAGTTTTTACTATAGCAACTCTGATGAAATTGATATTTTTATTTGAATTGATATGAAAACATTTGAGGTTTCATTTATATACTTCATCTCAAACTTTTTGGGAAATTTTAAATATAAATTGTACCATCTGGAAAAAATGAAACATTGGTATATAGTTATTAATCCAGTTTTAGGTATACATATAACAAGGTATAGCCTCTTTTATAAAAATAATTTAAAAAGTGAGCTTAAAAAAAGTAATTACAGTTTTGTTTATTAACTACATAAATATTTGATTCTAAACTTACTACCTTGGAATAAAATTTTAAATATATAAACTTTAATTTTTATTACAAATAAAAATAATGTAAATCATCTAGTTTGGGGGTTTTCAATATAATTTCCAACTAAAAGAAACTAGGGCTGACCAATGGAATGTCTAACTTCAGATCTGGGTCAGGATATACACAAGATGAGCATAGGATAACTTGTGTCACAAAGCCAGGAATCAATCATTAACAACAAAATGTGTCAAAATATATCAAAGGGATACAAAAACCAACATCAAGTAGCTTCTTTGGCCAAAGATGGACAATTGAAGCATCAAAAAAAGTAATGAATGCAGTTGTTTGAAACATACTGAATATATAAAAATTCATAAGTTCTTAATGACGTTCCAAAAAGGGAAGGCAAAAAAAAAAAAGAAAAAACAATCCCCTGGACAATATTGCAAGTAACTAGCACTAAGTCCTTATTCTAAAATTGTTCATTAAAAGAAAAGAATTCAAATGTTCTGATTTATCTTTCTTGATTAAACTATATATCAGAAAACCAAATTGTTGTTGAGAGAAATCTATTTTGTACAATAAATATGAAACAAATAACAGAATTGGCAAACCACCATTTAGAAATCTTGCATTTAATAAATGATTCAGGCAACCATCATCAATGGATGAAACTAACAGATGAAAGATTCATGAGGAACTTTCCAATGGAGAGCAGACTGTCACTGCCTCAGCATAAAAATGTGTCATTGCATTGGGACTCCAGACCTTGTGTACTTCCTGATCTAATGCCATCTGATGCACTCAGCACAACTGTGAAATGTTATCATCCAAAAAACAAAAATGGAATCTAATCAAGCCTTAAAACTGACTTCTCACTTACAGGCTTACAGAAAACATAAGGGTTACAGGAATAAGTTAAATGACATCACAAAGAAGGAAACAGGTAAATCTAGGACGGA